AACAATCGCTCATTTATTCAACTCTATAAATTTACTAAGTTCAACGAAGTCATTGGAATTTCGTATTATTTAAATTAATGGACCATCCATAAGGTAAATACTTTTGCATTAGTTTGCTAACTTTACTCACTTACTAATTAGTCATAGAAGTTCGCGTTTAAACCTATAATTTTTTTAAAAATTTATTACAGGTATTTCAATTTATGATTAATTAATTGTAATTTTACTTATTTATTTTAAATAAATTTAATTAACAATTTTATTTACGTATAGTTGATTAATTTAGTTTTCAGTAAATAATTTTGTTTAATTTTTAAGTAACTAATTTCAGTTTAGTTATAAATTATTAATTTGAATTTAGATTGAATGAATTTTAATTTAATTTTAGTAAATTTTAACTGTATTTTTAATAAATGTTAATTTCTTTTAAATCAAAACATTTTACTATTATTTTAAATTAATAAATACTAATTTTTTTAAATAAAATAATTTTCATTTAATTTTAAATTAATAATTTTTATTTCTTTTAAATATATAATTTTAATTGTATTATAATACCACTTAGTCACCATATAAAATTATATTTTGTATAATTTTAATATAATTGCCACCCACCCGCGTAGTCACCATAGCCAGTTTTGCTTAACTTCAGTGTTCTACTCAGTCCACTGCGGGACTTGACAGTATTAAAACTTGTCACCATAGTTCGTTGGGTATAATAAGGAAATTTAAGAATATTTAACTTCAATACACATGTTATTAAATTCACTACAGCAAAATAAGCACTACACTTTTTCCGCGGATTAATGAGGAAAAAATGTAGTGTCCTTTTTCGGCAATTTTAACAAAAAATCATGAGGCAGATGTGCATTTTTTACCACTGAAATGAAAACTAATTATTATTGCCATGCGATCTATAAGAAAAAAAAATGACAAAATTAATTATATTTCAAAATAAACTTATTAAAATGTTTTAGTCTAAAATATTTAGATATCTTCGGTGGCAAAAAAACGATGTTTATTAAAACATATCCAACGCTCAAATATATTCTAATATTCAAGCATTAACATTAAAAATTTTTATGGTTACTCAAGAAAGCCTAACTCATTACCACATACTTAAACAAACAAAATGCATTTTATGCAAACAAAAATAGAATTTTTTTTTCTGAAAAAACTTTTTAGAAAGCTCTCCAAAAATCAATCTTAGATCACATTATCACTAAGCAATTCTTTTAACTCTGTACCTCCTCAGAAAATGCTGCTGACTTTTATTCCTACCAATATATTAACATTTTTTTTTACTCCGCGATGACATTTACTTTTGAAGCAACGAGCCATAACTAGATATTCGTAGACAGAAATTTACATTCTTTCCAGTTTCTTGGTTATTATGTTATTTATGACAAAATATCTCGCCAAAAGTTATTTTCTAAATGCACGACATTCAACAAGGTCCCTAGTTCAAAGTAATTTATGAATAGAATAAGGTGAAAATTGGATTTGGACGCTTTCTTCAGTAGTTTTTACGCAGAAATGAGTAAATTTGAATATGTTTAGAACTCAAAATGTGTTAGAAGCTAATATTATTTACTTGAGATTAGTGTCGCATCAATGTGTTGTGAAACAAAAATTGAAGTAACGTTTTACGAAGATAAAAGAAGTGAAAGAAGCAAGAGTTTTTTTTTTCAAATAAAAGTTTGGAATTTCGATAAATTCCCTTATTAATAAGCAATGAATAAGAAATATAAATTTAATGCAATTCTCTTAAAATTTTAGTAAAATTTTTGTTAAATTTTTTTTTGCTTTAAATATGAATCAAATGGGGGAACAAACAAAATAACTTTTGATCTAATGAATTATGATACGGAAGAGTGCATAAAATTTTAACTTATCCGAATGACTTGTTTTCGAAGGATTAGGTTCATTGAGTTTTATTTTCTAAAGGATTCCCTTGATAATAAAGAGAACTAACTAATGAAGTTATAAACAGTATGTTATATGCATTTACTTTGTTTAAGTGAATAGAATTTCGACTTTGTTTTTCATGCCAATAAGACAAGACCAAACTTTATAATTATGTGTTTAAAAGATACATTTTAATATATATTTATTTAAAACCGACTAGGTGGAAGAGTGGTTAGCGTGCTTGACTGCGCAGCCGATGGTTGCGGGATCGAAACCTGCTCAGAGCATGGATGTTTCTTTTTCTCTGTGTTCTACGTCCTTTCTCCTTTGTGTGTGAATGTGCGACCCGCCCTATAAACGGGTTTGTGGTTGTGTGACGTGGACGACGCTGCTCCACCTCAGTGGCTTCGACACAGGTGCCCACTGGGTAACGAGAAGAGAGTAGCAGTCCTGGCATTAAGAGGCCAGTGTGACAATACCGCCCAAGTGCTAGCCATTAAAAAAAATTAAATAGCGTTTAAAGATGTTGATTTGATTTTACTCTTCAAATCTTTTTACATAAATGTAGCTTTTTAATATAATAACAAAATTTTTTTTAATAAATGTTGATTTGAGGTTCAATTATGACAATAAAAGATTATTGATTTTTAATATTACATCGATAAAAGAAATGAATTAAACATGATCATTATAAATAAAATATAACTGATAGAAATTATTGGGTGGTTTCATTAAGTTTATTTGGAGAAAAAAAATGAGACAAATTTGAATCTTTCCTTTATGCACAACCTGCGCAGGTGCACAACCTGCGGCCCGCGGGCCAAATGCGGCCCTTCGACTACTGAAGTGCGGCCCGCGAGAACTTCTAAACACAATAAAAGAAGTTTAAAAAATGGCAATTTTTAATCGCACTTTTAAGTCATCACATTTTGGCACAATCAATTATAACAGATTCTTTAGTAAATGTACGTTTAACGCGCTTTCTTTAAGCCGATTTTATCGTAAATATAAATGATTTTTTTTAAACAGTTATTTCCGCTTTTCTACGTGATTTCGGAAATCCCGAATTTTTATTACGACGTGAGTTTCAGATCGCCCATTTAAATAATCACTTTTTGATGCACTTTATTTGTGACGATATCATCTTAAATCTAAGTGATTTTTTTTTTGTTTTTTTTGTTGCAATTCTTTCTTTTTTTCAACAATTTTCTTCGGCAGTTATTGCTATGCGCTCCCACATATCATAGAAAATTCCAATTATTCTATTACGACATGCAAATTTTAAATCGCGCATTTGACAAGCTTTATTCGTGCTGAGTTCAGCATAAGTATAAGTAATTTTTTCACCCAATTATTTCTATACTTTTTTCACATGATTTTGACGATCCCGTTATTTAACTATGATGTTATTACGACACGTGATTGTTAATCGCGCAATTAAATAATCACTTTTTGATACGGTATTTCGGTGCAGTTTTATAGTAAATCCTTGTTATTTTTCCTTCGTTTTTTTTCCGCAACGAACATGATTTGGTCGAATGTGGTAATGAATTGTGATTTGGTCAAAAACCAAATATTCGTTAAAAAAAAAGAAGAAGAAAAATCGACTGAACGCCGTACACTTGGGGCCAAATAGCAAAATCTTTTAGCAGCATAGCATCACTGAAACTGAAATTTCAATGCTCAGAAAAATATTTCCTGGAAAAACGTATTCATAAATTAACTCTAAAAAATAAGGCTAATCAAGAACGTTTTTGAAAATGTCAAGAAGCGAAACAGAGAACATAAAAATCAATCTGAATTTTTGAAAGAAAATTTTAAAGCTGAACATCTCAGTTTTCCAATTACCAGAAAAAGCCAAGAAAAAAGAATTAAGTCAACAAAAATGCTATTAAAAATTACTGCGTTATAATAAAAACGTCTAAAAAAAGTTTTTTTTTATTTAAAAAAAATGAAAAGTTAGAAAAAACGTTCTTAATTTTTTAAATGAAAATCTTATGCTGAAAATCGCAATTTAAATTTTTCTTATTGCTATAATTTTAGAAGAAAAAAAATTGCTATAAAATAAATTTTATTAGCAACTTTATTTTTAAAAAAAATGCTGAGTCAGAATAAAAATGCCTAAAAAGGAAAAACAGAAAAAACAAATTTTTTTTAGTTCCAAAAGCAAAACTTTAATGCTGAAAATCACACTTTTCTATGTTACTGGTTATTTATATTACAGTATAGGGAAAGAGTGATAATAAATTAATAGTATGAGAAGTTCTGTTGAAATGCTGGGTTATAATAAACACAGCAAAAAATAGAAAAAAAATCCTTCTCAATTCTCAAAGTATCGAAAAAATGACAAAATTGACTTGTCTGATTATAATTTTTAAAAAAAAGTAATATCTATAAAAATTCAAAAATAAAAAAAACTTAGAAAAATACATTTCTAAAAAATATTCTGCCGAATATTTGACTGATCATTCAACCAACTGAATTTTTCACAGAAGGGCCAAATACTCGTTACATCCCTAATTTAAATGCAATGTTATTGCAACTTGAGAAATTCATAAAATGGCGGAAAACGTGAATTTTTAAACTGCTCACTGTTTGTAGTTAAGATTTCAATTTTTTGTTGCTAAAGTGATCTTTTTCCATAAAAAAAATTTTTTTACGATATAAAAAAATCTAATAATTAATAAAATGAAATAATAAAGTACATTACAAAATAAGCATTGAATTTTATTTTCCTATACTCTCACAGTTTTGTTTTTATTTTAGGCTTTTGTTAAAAACCTGTAAATTTTCTTCAATTAAAATATTTAATTTGAATTTATATTACTTGATTATGACAAAATTTTTTCCTACTTTCATTCTGTGGGCATTGCAGTTTTTTTTTATTTATTAGAATTTACGAGGCGTATCCAGAAAGTAAGTTTCCCTATTTTTTTAAAAAAAAGAACTCATACTTTCAGGAACATATTTTTGGCCAATAAGTACAGCAATGTTTCAGCTATTTTTCAACATAGCAGCATAGAATTGAGACACTTGTCGTATCATGGGTTCAACTTTTGTATCCCTCTGTCGTAGAACTCTGCCGCCTGTGAATGGAACCACATTGTGAAACAGTAAGCGCCAACCGTTACTGTGAAACATTGCGGAAATTGCGATGTGCTATTCAAAACAAGAGGTGTGGAATGCTTACTGCAGGTGTTGTGCTCCTCCATGACAATGCTCTTTCACATACAGCTCGATGCACAGCAGCTGTTTTGACGAAATTTGGCTCGGAGTTGTTTGATCATCCACCCTACAGCCCTGATCTTGCTCCCAGCGATTTTCATGTTTTCTTGCACCTCAAGAAATTCCTGTCCTCCGGTGAGCGTTTTGGCAATGACGAAGAGTTGTCACACGCTGGTTCCATTTACAGGCGGCAGAGTTCTACGACAGAGGAATACAAAAATTGATCCCACGATACGACAAGTGTCTCAATTCTGGAGGTGGCTATGTTGGAAAATAGCTGAGACATTGCTGTACTTGTTGCCAATAAATATGTTCCTGAAAGTATGAGTTCCTGTTTTTAAAAAAAAAATAGGGAAACTTACTTTCTGGATGCGCCCCGTAATTCCAAAATGAATTTTCGTATTGCATGATATGATAAAAAAAAAAAAAAAAAAAAAAAAAAAAAAAAAAAAAAAAAAAAAAACATTTCTTTTTTTCAAAGTTTATTTATTTTGATAAATCTATTGTTCATATGATAAAAATAGCAATTTGTTTTGTAAAAAAAAAGTATAAGTTTCTTTATTTTTGAATGAATTCTAAAAATGAACACCTTTAATTTTTTACAAATATATTACAAAGTTTATTGATAAAAAAATAGAACGCTAATGTTAAATAAACATTACTACATTTGTCATTAACATGTCTCAATACATGTGCGGCCCTTCGTTAGCCAACCTGCTGTGCAAGTGGCCCTTCACTCAAAAAGGTTGTGCTCCCCTACTTTATGAGAAGAAAAACTTTTGGAAAATTATTTTGCTTTAAAAGAAACAAAATTATACTAACCATCCCAAAAAGTTATAACAAATATAATCTTGGTAAATCCACAGATACTTCATTATTACGTCTGCAATAAATATCTCATTAATACAATGATAAAGAAATGTTCAATAACCTTCTATGAACAAGCCGATATATGGCTCTTAATGATGAAAGATCAGAAACGTGCTCGCTATTTTAGTTCTTACCATCGGATTGTATTCTTATAAATGCTGCTATCATATGTAAAAACATAACTGTTTTGTCGCTTATAGAATCGAATAAATTCTCCTGACAAGCTGCTACATGTGTATGTTAGCATGCTAACTTAATCATCATATACATGTATCCTTCATAATCTGTAGCCGCAAAGTCTATTTTTGTTTTTGAAAAATCGTTTCCGTGAATATCATTTTTTTGAGAGAAAAAATAATTTATCAATCATTTTCAATATTAGAACGGAAATGTTTTAAATAAAAAAAGGATATCTAGTTCCTACCTTGTAAAGAAATTTTTGCCGATAAAATATTTTGAATCTTTCCTTAAAATGCCAATACAATTTAACTAAAGTACTGTGCTCCATTTGACTCATATATCTCTAAATTTTCAATATACACTCATGTCCATAAGAATAATTCAGAATTGCACGGAAATCGAACTTCAAAGTAAAAATTTCGCCGGTAGAGCTACCACACTCATCTTCAAGAATAATATGCAAAGTACAGAGAACCACCAAATGACGCGTATAGTGCGTCATAATGAAAACAGAGTAAGAGAGGGACTTAAAAAGAGTGGTGGCAAATAAGTGGCATCCACAAGCGTTCTGTGAACCACTGAGTGTCATAAGCGAATAGTTATAACACAAAAGGCACAAATGGATGATTTTTTTACCTTGGTAGAATTATCACTCGCCTGTAATGTGGACGTACTCAGATGGAAGTACCCGAAGAACTTGGAATTTCATTAAGTGTCATCACTAAGCTTTAGCAACGACTCCAAGACGTCAGTAAACATTACAGGGCTAGTTGCCTGCGAGTTGCAATGCTGAATATAAACCGGTATTTGGCTGTAGCCACAAAAGAAAAGACCGTGCACAGCATCCGACCTATCTCGTCAGAGATCTGCGGCCACTGATACCGCAATTTAAAGGCAAACCCTGAACAGACGTTTAGGAAATATTGGTTCAGATTATCGCAGGCCTGTCAGAGGTGTTCCGATCATGGAAACTCACAGTCGGACGTCAGGTACTCGTTACCGTTACCGCCAAGACATCATCATCGAACGACACTGTTTCGTTGGTGCAGCATTTCTCGCTTGGGGGGGAAGTATACTGGATACTAGAACAGATCTGCACGTTAAAAGCGAAACCATGGCGGGCTAAATTTATCGGGACATCATTCGGAAACAATACGTACGTTTGTCAAGGGGTGCTGTAGGTACAGAATTTGGGAATATGAGTGATTACGCTCGTTCTCACCGAGAATATATCGTAAACGAATGCCATAAATCGAAGGATATCACCAGTATGATATACCCAGCATTCTCACCTGATTGAATTGAATCCGATAGAACATGTGTGGGGAATGCTCGGCTGCTAAATTGCAATCTTCCCCAAGCTCATCTGCGGGCCGGGATATCCTAGTTGATAGGTCACTGGGCCCATGTCCAAGAGGTCATGGGTTCGATCCCCGCCGGCTGAAGACTCCCCGTGCAGTAAATGATGACTGATGCTCGTTAAATCTGTCGAGTCACAAAGTCCTCCATGTTCCCATAACAAATCATTCTTATGGGGGAACTGATCCGGGAGTTTCCATGAGATAATAATTGATTTGGAGCAGTGGTGGGTCATGGGATAGAGCGTCCGCCTTCCAACGAGGGTTACCGGGTTCGAATCCCAGCGATGGCTGGTCGGTACGAATTCCGCGCCCTGCTTGCACAGACCACAGTGCTGAATAAAATATCCTCAGTGTTAAACGGATCATGGGTTAGAGTTCCCTTGTCGTCAGGCTAACCGTGGGAGGTTTTCCTCTCCATGTCATGCAGAAGCGGGTTAGTTCCATAAAAAAATCCTCCACGAAGACAGATTTCTCCCAGTACTTGGTGCAGGACTTCCCTTGTCTTCTGCATTGGTTCAAAATTACAGGCTCCGGAGTTAAACATCAGTAGTCGTAAACCCAAAATTGGGTCTGCTGTTCAACGACTATTATAAAAAAAGATCAGCTGAATAGTTTGAAACTCTGTATGCCTAGGATTTGTACAGATTGTATTTCATTACATGAGAGACATTATATGTACCAACCATGTATTACTAAGCTTTTGTAAAGGATATATTGTTTTATAATTGTTCCAGGGGACTGTTTTATGAATGATATCATACATACACCATATTTTTAATTCCCTATTTCTTTTTAATGGATGAGCTTCATAAATAAGTCACGTTTGTTTTGTTACTTAGTATTTATTTGCCAATATCCTTAATTTATGGACGTGAGTGTATTTTAATGCAATTTAAATTATTCACTGACTTTTTTTGCGATGCATGGTCGAACAATAATTAAAATTATCACTTTCACAATTTTCCAATAAATTTTGTCCTCTTTGCAAATTTGAGTCATAATGAAAAACGATTGTAATGAGTAATTTTTAAAGAAATTGCGGTTGGCTAAAATGCAAAATCAAACAAAATCCCTAAATAAGTTGAATTTAGTTTAATCATGATCTTCTAGATCATAGATTCTCAACCTTTTTAACGTTACCACCCCCCTATGAAGCAAAAAAAATTGCAACGCCCCCACCCCTTTTGCGAAAATCTAGTTATTTTGAGAAAGGGGGTAGAGGGGGTGATGAATTATAAGAAGCAACATTTTTAAGCAATTTCTTTAGAATTAAATTTGCTTGGTTTTTTTTCTAAAAAATAAGTGTGCACGTTAACTCAATATTTTTCTCCCGTCAGGTAATCGCAGTCTATTTGTTATGATAAAAATAAATGCAGTATTGGAAAAAAAATACAACAAAGAAACCTATAATTAAAATGAGTAATTAATTCTTAATTCGATGACGAAAAAAAATACCCAAAAATCATTTTTACTCTAGAAATTATTATCAACGAAACAATCAAGTAACTATGATAGTGGAATGAGTGTGCGTGATGGTTCAGAACCAGTTTCTTAACATTCGATTCAATATTTTCAGTGAGGTAAAGTCGCAAGAACCCTCTTTTTTTGTGACTATATCCGTCACAGCACTGAATCTTTGTTCGACAAGGTAGGAGGAAGGGAAGGCAATTTAAACTTTTTTGATGATAATCTATAGCCCAGGCGAGTGGTGTTACCTTGAAGCCAAACAAAATTCTGTGAGATCATCACCATTTCAAAGTTTCATTTCATCCCTTGTAAGTTCGGCCGTTTCCTCCTAAATCTGAACCTCTGCTTTTTCAATATTCAAAAGATTCATTACCCATTGAGGGACTTCCAGGAGCAAAACATGTTTATAACGGTCGGAAAAGTCCATGTGTAAAGACTCAGTGTTAGCAATATTCTTGTGTATCATCAGAGGGAATTTAACTATTATTTTTAAGATCCGATAAGATTGGAAATTGACTAAACTCATACCGATCAAAATTTTGTTTCCATAAAATGAGTTTTTTAGAAAAGCAGATAAAACTAATTTTGTAGTGGTCAAATTGAGCTTGTGGCCGTGAAGTTGTCAATTAACACCATAAAATTTTTCAAATAAATCGATCATGTGTGCAACTTCTATCTTAAATTCTAGCGATTTGTCTTTCAGAACTACATTTCTGACTTCGAGGAACTCAAATACAAAGTCGAAAAGATTCTAAAACTTATTGAGACAGACGACTTAGGAAAGCCAGCGAATCTCAGTGTGAAGTAGCAAACGATTGAATTCATTGTTTATATTTTTTTGCACAGCTTATGAATTATCAATCGTTGAGAGCATTACTGCGAATTTTGTTCACAGCAGAGAGCTTGACATATTGCAATAACTGATGTAAACGACTACTGAGATTTTTTAAAATTAAATGCTGTCTATGGATCCCTCTTCAAAACGGCGATATACCCACGATGTGGTGCCACCATTGCAGGAGTATCATCAATAGCAAGAGATAATATTCGCAAGAGGAATATTTTTCTGTTTAAAATAGTCTTTGGTAGAATTAAAAATAGATTCACATTGGGTTTCTGCAAACAAGCTTCTTGCAAAAAGCATCTCTTGATTAATTTTTCGTTCTTTAACAAACCGGACGTATGCCAACAGTAACGCCTCATTACTTGGCAATAGGTTGACTCATAAACTTGAGGGGAAAATGCGTTGGATATCAAAAGTTAGCATAAAGAAACTTCAATGTCTCATCCATCTCATTATTTCGTCGCTGCACTTTATCGTTGCTTAATGGGATATTTTTTATTAC